AGGGCGCAACGAGGACGTTGCGATCCTAAGTGGGGGTGATTGTAATACCAGAGATTAATTTAAGAGGATTAATAGTACTACTCATACAAACAAGATGCATCTCCTTTTAAGGGAGCTCATCAGCCAAGAACTCCAAAGTTAAGCGTGCTGGCACGGGAGTAGTCTTGGGATGGGTGACCCCCTGGGAAGTTTCTTAGGGCGCGCATGAGTGAGGACAAAGTGCGCGGTAAAGGCTCGTGGTGGTTTGTGGGGATAGTATTATTGGTCTAGAGTAGCTACCTCGGGTCCTACGAGGCCGGGGTGTTACACAACCTCTTGGCTCTTTTACATTTGTACAAGCTCACATTGATCTTCAATGTCTTTTCAGCCTCCTCCTTCATAGCTCTAACTTTGAAGCTAGGATTTTTTAGTAGGTGACCTTTGAAATATTTTGCTAACCACTTCTGGCTAGCACTTGGAATAGAATAATGCCTAAAACATTTGTGTTCAAGATTGCATGCCTTCACTTCAAGACCACAATTCTTCCCATCCTTAGATATCCATAACCTAAACGAACAACCTTCCTCATTAAGACACTTCACCGCCAACCGGTTCTTCTCATTCGGTTTGATCTTCAGCTTGTACCCATATTTGACTCCATAATTAGCTATTGCACTGCGAGCCTCTTTCACATCTTCAAAAGTTATTCCATTCTGGAAAGTACCTGATCCATCATTCACAGCATAATTCTGTGTGGGCTCATCATCTGAGGAGTCCTCAGATTGGTTGCTCTCCTCCTCCTCCTCTTCATGTCCTCCATTACAGTCTTCATCAGTTTGATATCCATTTGGGACACCACCAGTGCTCGCTTCAGTTTGGTCTCTAACATGTTCATTACCACCGTCAAATCTTATCCCATTTTGGCTTTCACCATTGTGGGTGCCACCATTTTGGTCTGTTGTCACAGTAGTCCCTTCTAGTGGGGGAATTAGAAGAGGTTCATCCAGTTCATGATCAGCATACAGTTCAATATCATCAATCCATGAGAAGGTTCTATACGATTAAGCACCTTCCTTAGCTTATTGTGTCATCATCTTCAACTAAAAACAGCCCATTTTCCATGTCTTTTCCAGGTTCTAACACATATATGTTTTTTAGAGATTTAAACATCAAATCATCCTTATACTTCCGGGATATGTCATGATTATACAAATAGTCAGGGTCAAATCCATATATGGTATCCACATCCCCATTCACGTACTGTAAAGGCTTCAACAGCCACCTCCCGCTATGCTTAAACCTCAAGTTGACCACCCTACTCGTTTTTACGAAGAAAGTTACAAGAACGGAATACCTTAGAGTGTTTGAACGGATTTCGTCACGTTTGCAATCTCAAGTTACAGTCCATCAGCGTGTAATCTTCTTTCCGAGTGCGAGTTACAGTCGAAGAAAATTTACTTAGGATTGCAAATGGGGGTTATGCGTTTAAACGTAGGGAAAGTGGAGTTTTAGTTAGGGGGAAACGACCGTTAGTAAGGAAAGTTAGTGGGTGGTTAAAAGTTAAGGGAAATGTTTTAATTTGTGTTGTTTTGGTCCACTTTTAACCTCACTGTCCTTTTTTGTCCTTCTCCCTTTTATAAAACATACTTCCCTCCTGAAATTTCCATCCCCAAACTTGACATTTGGCACTTTTGGTGTTTGAAAATTTATCTTAACTCGACTTCGGAGTATAAAGATACTCTTGGAAGCATGTGAAGCGCCGTAGGTGGCGAGCAAGGAACGATGTCACATCTGGCACGACACTTGTTACCTTCATAGCACGACACGCCTGCACGGTCTAATGACAGCTGTCGCGCGCCTCTCCTTCTTCTCCAACGAAAACCTTAAAACCCCTTAGCTTATCCGCCCACTCGCCGCCACTATTCACACGCATTCAAATTATTAATTAATGAATGAAAACTAAATAATCCATCCGCCCGCAGGTTGATTGCTTACGTTCGTACACCTGGTACTAGTACCTAGCTACCTTGCTTGCTCGATCGAGAATGGTGACCAGAAAGCACAAGGCGGAAATCAACAAGCAGCTGGCGGCGCAACAAGATGATCCTCATAAATCCCACCACAAACCTTCGCCCCCCAAAAAGCAAAAGACTAATAAGGCAGCGCGGATGATCACGGTGAAGGCCGCAAGGATGACGAGAAACCGGCCGTTGCTACCGAGTTCGAGGAGTTCTGCAATGCGACGAGAGAGCATCTCTCCGTCCAACAAATGCGGGACGTCCTCGAAGCCAACGGCCAGGACTCTTCCGGCTCAGACGCTGCTGTTGTCTCGAGATGGTTAGTTCATCTTTCTTGTTGACATGTTGGGAGTTTGGATTTGATTATTTAGTTCAATGGACTATATAAGTCTCATTATGATTTGATGCATTTTATTGGATAATAGTTTGATTTTGTCAAGTTTGACCACTAAATAATAAAGTAAAAATAGTATAGCCGGGGATGACATCATGACAAACTACAAATGACAAATAAATGATAATGATAAATTTTGGCACTAGCTATATATTAAATTCACAAAATTCGTACTCTTGAAATTTAGTTAACACTTAAAAATTGACCTAAATTTTGATCTTTGTTTGAGCTCGGTATACATTTCCTTTTAAAAAAATATAAATATTTTATAAATTTTTTATTATTTTTTTTATGATTTTTATTATTTTTTTACGATGAATTAAAGCATTTTATTATGAATTAATACTCTTAGGGGTATTTAGGGTAGAAAGTTAATTTATAGTCCTATTCCTAAAATGATTTAGGGCTTCGGTCCTATTTGTAAAATTAAGTTTTCATTTAGTTCTATTTAGGTTAATTTCATTACTTTTTTTATACAGATTATATCGCAGCTAGCTTTTTTTTGCAAATATATCACGGCTAGCTTAGAGCATCTTCAATGGTCCTTCTATGGATTTTCTTGCAATTTTGAAGTTACTAGCCTACCATTGGATTGCATCTTTCCTTCTAGCTTGGGCAAACAATATAGCCAAAACAAGCTACTTGCTAGAGAGGATGGAAATTTGAATTAAAATGGTAATTACCAAATTTGAATTGATATTGTTTAATTTAATTAGTATATTTATTTTATTTAATATTTAATTTTTTTGTTTTGTTGGTTTTAAAAGATTTAATTTTCTCATGAAATATTTAAAGTTGATATTTTTTCGGTATGTTTGTGTTGTTAATATTTCTTATTCCTTATTTTTTTACTTAACAAAATAAATATTTATGTACTACTTTTAAAAATATGCATTTCCATACTATGCTCGTTATAATAATAAAATAACGAGCATTCAAAATATTAACAACATGTACATACCGAAAAATATCAACTTATAATGTCATTTATATTTTCCCGATTTGAAAATATTTCAAAATATATAAGTATATTTTCAAAATTGATTGATTTGTGCCTCCTATTCAGGAGGCAAGCATTGTGGCTAACCATTGGACTATCACATTGTTGAAAAATGAATTATCTAGACAAAGCTGATGTGGCATGTGTTTAGCTAGCCATTGCAGATACTCTTAGTATATCTTTTTCGGTGAGAACGTTTCAAAAAATCAAATACTTCCTCTTTTTTTAATTGTAATGGTCCACTTTTTTGCCCACGCATAAGTTTGACCATTAATATATATTTCATTCTTTATTATTAAAATAATTAAAAGAATAGATTTTTAAAATTTAAAATGAGAGGAATTTAACAATATTTTTTTTAAATTTAATTTATAATACATTAATCAATAAAATAAATTCAAAGTAGAACATGCGATGAATAGTGCAAAAGTCTAATCTCCCGTTTAAAAGAGAACGGGGTAGTATGTAGCTTAATCCTAACATATCATCATGGCATCATCACACTTAAATCATATGGACTAAATAAGTAACTAGAACAATTGTTTCAAGTTCTCATCTAATTTGGGGGATAAAGTAAAATCATTTTGACTAGAATTTCAAAATGGTACCATTATTATGAAATTATTAATGTATTCATTGATTTTATTCTATGTATCAATTTATTTGACATAACAAATAGGATTTTTAATTTTTGGCCGGTTGTAATTAACCTCAAGCCGTTGAGTAATTAATATATTTTGAGATATTACCGGAAATAGCCAAATAGGAGTAAATCCAAAATAGGATTGTCATATTTTTATTCCCAAAATGACTAATTACGGCCATGTTTTGGCAGTACCAGACTTCAAACATGTCAGTATTTTCTAAACATGACAGTAATTAGTCCTATTTTGGAAATAAAAATGACAGTCCTATTTTGGAATTTTGAAACTGTTTATCCTATTTTGGGAACTTTCCCATATATTTTACCTTTCACAAAAAATGCTTCAAATCAAATAATTATGAGGCATTTAATTCTATTTTATTATAATCTAAATCCAATTTGATCTGTTTGAGTGATTTGATTTTTAAGTTTAGTCGTATTTATGAACAGCATATTTTACTGAGGTTTTTTAAAAAAATTGAAATAAATTTATTTACTCAAAGTTACTTTGTACTATAGTATAGAGTCATAGTTATAAGTTACTATAACTAAACTTACCACACTATAGCCATTACATTTAAAATGTCACATTTTTGTAAACGATTTTTATTTTAGTCATAATTTTTTTTTAGTCATATAATTATTTTTATATAACTATGGGAAAATAATTCTAAATAGAACCAACTATCACCCAGCCATAAGGCCATAAACCACCAATAATAATAGATACTTTGGAAATGATTTCTAATAATGTCAACTATTTGAAAAAGTAACAATATTATTATAATAATTATTATTATTGTGGAATTTGATTTTGCACCCCAAAACATGGATTTATAAAATATTGAATTTTACACCACATTTCAAAATCATTTTGAACATGTATGGGTAAACCAGTACGGATTCATCCCAGTTTAGGTATCTAATTCTAATGATAATTAGTTATAGTACTTCAAGAAAACCCAGTAAAGCTGGGTTTTTGGCATTTTGATATGATGTTAAAGAAATTGAATACACTTATCCACTTATAATTATCATTTTATTTCAATACAGCCAAGAAATAATGTTCTTTGGACCATTGGAGAAGTGTTCAGTCTGCGGTGGCATGTTGGAGTGCAGCGGGGGAGCATATCACTGCAAAGGAGATTTCTCAGAGTGGTCTTCCTGTGTTTACTCCACCAGAGATCCTCCAAGAAAGGACCAAGAACCACTAAACATCCCTGAATCTGTCAGGAAAACACCAGTCGAGAACGTAATAAACTACTACATAAAGTGTGAATTATTTTATACGAAGTATGAGTATAGTTAAACGTGCAAGCATGCATGAACTTTAAGTGTGATACTATTTTTTAATGCATTGTATATTTGGGTTCATTAGTTGATCAAGAAACATCAAGATCCAAAAACCCGGCCAAAGAAAGAACTACTTGCAGCAGTAAAACCTCTTAGCAGTATGATGATTTCGCTCTCGGGTCGTCTTACCCGAACCCATGTGTGTATTTTTCAACTCTGCTATTCTTTATGTAGTCGTAAACAGCTGAAAATATGTTTTTGCACATTTAGTTGGTGACAACAATAAGTTTATTTTGTGCAGCAATACTGGAAATCTCAAATTGAGAAGAACGGAGGGAATGTGGCAAATTCTGTCATTGGTAATATGTTCATATTAGTGATGGGTTTGGTATATACTATGTCTGTATGTTACACATTGGTTGTTTCATAATAGTGTTTGCTAATGGCGCTGGGAATTTGGTTGCAATGCAGGGGTGACTTGTTTAGTTGTCTCTCCAGCCGAGCGTGATCGTGGTGGCTCATCTAAAGTAGCTGAAGCTGTGTAAGTCTTTAATTATTTAGTGGCATACTTGTATATATTATTGAACAAACTACCTTAAATTATGAGTGCAATAAATATTAGCTCCACATTAAAAGAAGGATATTTTAACGATGCAGGATAAATATTTCTAATATACAATATTTGTCAATATTTTGTACTACTCAAATCATACATACTATAATACTTAAATCAATATTTGTCAATTTACTAATTTAGTTCTTTTTAACTAAATTTATCGTGTAAATTTAATTTGTCACTATATTTTATGTATTCTTTGGAAGTTATTCGAAAAGTGTATAAAAATGAAAATAAAATTAAAAATTATTATGAAACCAACACCATAGCTTTTCAGAGAACAGGCTCTCATTCTTTTCGCTGATTTGAGTGTTTATTAGGGAAAGGGGAATACCTGTGGTAAGGGAAGCATGGTTGCAAGATAGCATAGAGAAAAGGGAAGCACAGCCACTAGATGCTTACGATGTTATGAGCGACATTGCCGTAGATGGTAGGGGCATTCCCTTAGACAAGCAGGATGGGAGTGCAGAGGCGCTAGAGACCATTGCGGCAGAGGTTACTTTTTTTCTAAAAAACACCACCTTTTTCAAGACGCTGTCTATGTAGCACGGAAACTCTCGGGAAAGAGTGTTTCCGCTTTGGAAACTCTTTGAAAACTCTCCAAACAAGCTTTTTTTGAGCAAAAGTTGATGTTTCCCGTTTCCGTGCAACATAGGATGCTGCATTTTTTTATTCGTGATAGTTGATTTACTATAATGGGAAATCGCAGCTGAAGGTGTACGGGAAGAGAGGTGTACACAAGGATACCAATATGCAGGACAAAGGTGGAAAGATACTTGAAAAGGATGGACTGTTGTACAATTGTGCCCTTGCCCTTTGTGATCAAGGAAGAGCAGTCAACGAGTAATATAAAAAAGCCTATAAACCATTGTTTTTTATTTCCCTTTCTTAAGGGATCTGTTTGGTACTCAGAAATTTCTAGGGCAGAACAATATCACATTTCATTTTCATGTGCTTTACGATATGTCAACATACCCCAAGTACTAAAAATGATTGATGACACTTCGTGCTTGTTCAGGTTCTGCATTATGCAGCTCATTGTAGGGCCTGATAAGCGTTTGCACATGTACTATAGAAGGGGCAGAGTAGGTGATGTTGCCCGGATAGATGACAAGCTTGAGGAGCGGGAAAATGAGGATGACACAATCAAAGAGTTTGCTAAGATCTTCAAAGAGTTGACTGGAAATGAGTTTGAGTCATGGGAGAGGGGGAAGAAAATCCAGAAGAAACCGCACAAGTTTTTTCCTCTTGATCTGGTACTTTCATCATTTAAAGGATTGTAGAACTATGCACAATTTTAATCTAGATGTGACAAATATTACCATATGAATTAAAATACAAGAATGCACTTTAAAATATTAAAAATATGAATTATGAAGCTCAGTGTTGTAGTGCCCCTCCCACTTCCACGTCCTATAGTTGTCCCAAAAGGCCATATTATTAGACACATCCAAGGTGTTTTATGCTCAGGGTGTTTATTTTTCTCTCCAGGCTGATGGAGTAGAAGTTAGACATGGAGGGCTTGCCCTTAGGCAACTTGGAGTTGCAGCCATACACAGCAAGCTTGGTAATCCTATGGTAGCGAATCTTATGAAAGTTCTTTGCAGCCAAGAAATCTATAGGTATAGATATATATCTTCAAATACAAATATGAAATGCATAATTTTCTAATCTGGCTGATAAACAGAGATAAATTTGGTAAAACAAAAATCTATACTCCCTACCTAATCTCACAACCGAACAAGCCCTTAGTGATGCTGCTCACAGTAAATTATTCATTGCATGAAGGTATGCATTAATGGAGATTGGGCATGACTACCCAGAGGTTCCAATAGGGATGCTTTCAGACATGCATCTGAAAACATGTATAGACTTCTTTTCATTTATCATTGATCCAAACTGATCCTATGAAAGCATAGTTAGATGCTAAATATGTCTGTGATCACCATATACTTGGTAGGTGAGGACGCTCTACTGCACTATGCGGAAAGGTTAAACACAATGAAGGAAACAGGACAGGAAGCAGAAGCAGTGTGGGCAGAGTTCAGCAACAAGTGGTTCACTCTTATGCCATCCACAAGGCCATTCCGTCTAAGGGATATTGACGACATCGCGGATCATGTTAGTCAGTGGAATACTTAGTCTCTAATATGTAGATGTTCTTTGTTTCCTAAATGTTCATTAATGAATTATAGGCTGCTTCTACATTTGAGACTATAAGAGATATCAATGTCGCATCGCGCCTTATAGAGGATATGTCTGGTTCAACTATAGACGACCCTCTGTCTGATCGATACATGAAGTTGGGGTGCTCCATTTCTCCTTTGGAGAAAGATTCGGAAGACTACAAAATGATAGTTAAATACTTGGAGAAAACTTACGATCCAGTCGGTGTTGGAGATATAGTAAGTCTATCGTCTTTACATCTTTGCTGATCCTGAAATAATAATTTCAGGTTCTAACATATGTTAATTCTTACATTGCTGTGTTGGTAGAGTTACGGAGTGGCAGTGGACAACATCTTTGTTCTTGAACCAAAAGCTTTCCCCTCACTCAATGACATCAAGAAATTACCCAACAAACTCTTGCTCTGGTGTGGTAAGATAGGGATTAATGGAGAGTTGGACACCAGAAGGGGGGCTTTTTGTGCAATTATTTCTTGATCAGAGATGAGGTATTCAAAGCTAAACAGTTCAACACTTCGTCTCTTTTTTCAGGAACAAGAAGCTCAAATCTTTTGAGGCATTTGCAGAAAGGGTTTATGCCATCTGTTTGTTCACTTCCTGTTCCAGGCTACATGGTAGTAACTACTTATTGAGTATTATATATTAACATGCATTGTGATATAATACAAAGAAGTAATTCTAAACATGAGTAATATCCATAAATAGGAGTGTATATCTAGTTGAAAATAGAACTCATTTAGAGAACTAGTCAGAAGAATCTTTTTTAAGTGTGGAAATTGTCCTTCACATAATCACATATAATGCAGATTGTAGTTTTTTACAGTTTCAATTATCTTAACAGTTCGGAAAAGCAATTGTGTGCTCAGATGCAGCAGCAGAAGCTGCGAAGTATGGTTTCACTGCGGTTGACAGGCCAGAAGGGTTCTTGGTATTGGCTGTGGCTTCTATGGGTGAAGAAGTCCAGGAGTTCTGCAGTCCACCAAAGGTAGTGACATGTTTATGGAAAATAAACTACACTTAAGGTATTCAAACTATCTTCGTCCGTAGTTCGTCGATGTTGTATTGCGCATTGAACATTGCAGGATACTAAATCCTTGGTGGAAAAGAAACTTGGGGTAAAATGCCACGGGAGGATGAAGACTGATGAGTCTGAGCATTTTGTTTGGAAGGATGATATCAAAGTGCCTTGTGGCCGGCTGATTGAATCAGATGAGCACAAGGATAGTCCACTCACCTTTAACGAGTATGCTGTCTTTGATCCACAGCAGGTATGAAAAATCTGAGTGGTTAGATCAATCTAAACCACTCAGATTAAAAGAATGTTAGCACTACGGTTATTTAGAGGAAAAACAGATACATGACCATAAAAACAGATACATGACCATTTCTTTTTTCCAAGTTCTTTCCATCCCACGTTGATTCATGTTAGTCCCTTACTCTCTTGAAAATAAGGCTTGAATGTTGTTGTTTATTTCCCATTTTCCTCTCTGTTTTCTACAATTAACACATCTATTGTTTTCAGGTGAGCATTAGGTTCTTGGTGGCTGTCAAGTACGAGGAACAAGGTGTGGAATATGATACCGCTGACCTTGAAGTCTAGGCTGCTATAAACTGGCGGAGAAAAAAGGAACAAAAAACTCCTAGGGTGAAAAGGGTGGTTCTATCATGTAATAAATAGATATATTTTGATGCCTGATGGGGGTAGTATATGTTTTGGGTATGATATGGTTTTAGCCTACAAAAGCTCTAATGGGTATTTAAGGATACAGGAAATGCTTCCTCTTTTTACCACAGGATTCTGTGGTTTATAAAAATGCTTGGTTGCACCTTCCTCTTAATAATGAATTATGATTAATAGTGTGAGCCTACCATGTTTTACAGCTTGGTCTTAATGGTAAACTACAAGCATAAACTGAAACTTTTCAATTTTGAAATATAAAACATGTTTGATTCCACAAGTCAAAAAGCAAGTAAGATATGAATTGCATAACACTCGAGTTATGAAAACTGACAAAAATTGAAAGAGGTCATAAACTCAAGCGGAAATCATCTTATGGGGCTTAAATCATTTGATTTTTCAGAACAATAAAAAAAGGTTGAAGACACCAACCTTAGGTGTAAGGTGTAAGCTTTAGTTCATAAGATAAATTTTATTAACGAGTTGATGCAACAGCTACAATGTATGCATTCCATGAATCCTGCTGTTGAAAGCTTGTGACCTCCTCGTATTTTATGTCTTGACCTGCAGAAAATCCATACGTGCTTTTGATCTCTTCACTATTTGGCATCTGTCGCATCCAAAAGTGAATAGCACCAAACCCAGCCTCTTCCAAACAATCTCTTATTTCAGGCAGTGACCATCTACATATTTGAATAGGGAATCAGAACCATAGTTGTAAAATTCACGTTTGACCCCAAAAGTGGTAAGCTGTATGAAAGGACTATTACAAGTGAACGAACCGAATACAAAGGAGTTAAAAACAACAAATTTAGTTAAATAAAAATGTTTAAAATAACTAAGATTGATGATATCATAGAGTTTTATTTACTTTACAGAAATTGAAATGTTGCGCCTTTATAAAGCAAAATTCTTATTTGGTTCTGAGGTAGTTCTTTTTTGTCCCAGGACAGAAACCCATTTGAACAAAAGCAATTAACTCCCAAATTAATAGATAACGTGAAAGTTCATTTCCTAAATAGGATTGATGCCATGTGAAATAAAAATTTAGAACCTCATTATGGGGCGATGGTAAAAACTGTGAAAGAAACAGTTTCACAGATCGAATGGGAAAAAAGAAGTCCATAAACAATTGTGCTTTGGGGCTCACTGTGACCCTTAAAAATGCAATACACCAAAACTTACAGTCTCCAGCTGTAGGAGAAGGCATGACGTAGTTTCCTTTGAGACTTTTGCAGATTGAAATGAAGGCTAATTCTTGTTTTCCTCTTAATGATGTCAAATTCAGTTTGCTCCCAAACATACTGGGGAAGAAGTAAAAAAAAGAGTCAAAAAAGGGAAGCAATTAAAGAATGGAAATAAAAAATCTACGGAAATGAAAACAGCATGCAGCTTAAAATCTTCATTATTCTAAGATCATTAATGTAATAATCGGTCAATGTAATAAGTTGACGACAACTAAACTAACAAAGATTTATATCGTCATCCAATATAGCGAGAGATAAACTAAAGCATTGGTTCTTTATATAACAGGTGCTGTTTCTCATATGCTTTATGATTAAATACTTGGACCCATAGTTAGGTTAGTCAAATAAAAATATACCGTGAACTGGGGAAATTTCCTCTGCAGACGCAGTTCACACTCTGATGATGTTCCTCCATAAAGATCCATCACAAAAATCCCACCTTTCTTGCTCAACACAGTGAACACATGCTTGAAATACTTGATCAATTCTTGGCGGGTATGAAGACAGCAACAGCTATAGTTAAATGCACAGACTATATCTCTATCGGGCAACTGAGAATCTGTTAGTTTAAGTTCAAGCAAACCATGTGTTCCATCCTGAGTGCTGACCATAATCCGTTTGGCATCAAGGGGTCTCAAGACATTGCCGTGAAAAAGAAATGCTCTGGATGAGACATCAGTTCCAGTGTTGTTTAAGTTGTTTTCTATGCACCAATCAAGTGCCTCTATGTCCAAATCTAATCCAACGGCTGTTCTTCTTGCATCGCTGCGAAGCCACTCCGCACTGCAAAATATCATCCACCAGAAACCAATCACAAAAACGAGTTTTTCATAACTAGATCTAAGTCTGTCATAGTTAATGAAGGTTCACAATGACAAACCAACTAATACTTGCCTATACAGTCACCTTGATGGATATAAATAGTGCTCATTTGGTTAAGCGTCAAGATTTTAATGTTACCCCATGTAGAATTGTTTGAATAAACATAACTGTATTATCAGCGTATATGGAGTTCTTCAATAAGAACCTGCTCTACAAGTACCAATATACCTGAAACCTGCTTGGTTGGGGGTTACAGAAGGAAGGGGGAGAAAGTAGATGAGCTATCCTCCACACTCCTCATATCTCACTGCCCCAATATAAGGTACTTCAGAGGTCCATATTATTGGTATACATACAATATTTTGGTTAATAGCTACAAAACGTTATACCAAATATAATGTTTTTAATATTTTCCCAGTAAAATCATTGATCCCACCTTCTCAGTTGAGCCAAAGTAAACTTCTTTCTGAACTCTTTGATTTCCGTCCCCTACCTTCTCCCCATTTCTCTTCCCCTCTTTTGAATCAAATAAAAGCTAAGGGGGCAAACCAGCAAAGAGTGTATAATTATCCACGTGTGATAGAAGTTTTGTGTTCATTTTGTTACACGCCAAGACTTTATATATTAGCATTTGGTAAGTTCGAATAAGTATAAGAGTATCTTCAGTGAACATGGACTTCATTCAAGAGTAGCATGTCCTATATATGTACCACCAATTGGTGAATGTATACCTCAAAAGAGCAGTGCCGCAGAAATCTTCCTGGAGATGGAGAGGGACCCTTCCTCCTACGTACATTAAAAAGAATTTCTGCAGATAGCTTATGTCCCCTTTAGGAGACTATACAGTATTTTAGCATATCTATCTAGAAGAGGATGGTATATATGCAGCTAATTACAGGGTTCCCTTGCCTGAACAGATTGCTGATAAAGCATGAATTTTGAGGGTATATCATTGGTTGATGCTGATGAATCACCATCAATTTCAGTGTCGTCGTCGTCTTCTTCTTCTTGGAGCTCGCGGCGTTCTTGAGCGGGCGGGTATTGCTCATCTGCTTCTCCGTCTTCTCCGAGATAGGGAGTGTTCCTTGCTCCTCTGCGATGATTGTTTTGCTTCTTCCCGTGCTTACCCATTCAAACTGGCAGACTTCGCGCTCTGCAAGTGTGCTAAGACAGGGTTTAAGCTTGAGGATTGTGATGACTACCGAAGGGTGCCACAATCAGAATTGACCATGTTTATGCGATGGGGTTGCTAGGCGCACCTCCGGTATTTCTTTACGTAACCGTAGCTAGACTAATTTGCCCCCTCCATTCCTTTTTATTGAAGTTTCAATTTGAACAGTGTAAATAGTCTTTAAAATTAGGAACAACCCCTAGGCATGGAAGGGCCGGGCCCGGGTCGGGCCGCCGGTTTGTTACACATGGACCCGGAACCAGCCCGAGGATTGGACGGGTCCGGTTTGGGCTGGGCCACCCGCCCGGGTCACGGGTTCGGGCCACCCGTCGGGCCGGGCCGGGCCGATTAAAACTAATTTTTTTTAGGGAGAACTATCAAATAAGCCCTTGAACTTTCATAAAAATGCAAATAAGCCCTTTTACAGGAGGCTTTGTCCGGCTTTCGCAATTTGGGGCGGTTTCCGGTGGAATTTTTTGATGAAATTTGTTTACCATCTTCTTCATTAAGTCTAGTTTATCCATACCAAATTTCAGCTAAAATTTTAATCGATAAGGTAGTCAAATGATTTTCTGAAATATACTGCGTTGCCGAACTGCGCAGTTATCTTCAAAAATTCATTTGACTTCCTTACCGATTTAATGTTTAGCTGAAATTTGGTATGCGTAAACTAGACTTAATGAAGAAGATGCTCAAAAAATTTCATCAAAAAATTCCACCGGAAACCTCCCCAAATGGCGACGGCCAGACAGAGCCTCATATAAAAGGGCTTATTTGCATTTTTTATGAAAGTTCGATGGCTTATTTGATAGTTCTCCCTTTTTTATATAATTTATACTTTATAGTTTTATACAAGTATTAAAAACAAACTTCAAGTGCATTTATTTGAAATGAAATAGGAACTACGAGAAACATACAATATGAAATACATTTTGTAAATTGTAATCAATCGGAATTTTCCGCACCTCCCCATCCTTTGGCTTTGTCACATGACTTAATATGCTTCATTGTCATCCCGTATCCGCCTGAAACCCCCATGCTACATTTTTCCCGCACCATTTGCAAGTTGCGTACCACATCCCGGTCCTCGGGTCCTTCTGCTTATCAAAATTATACCGTATAACGGCATATTGACTTTCCATCTTAAAAATGGTAGATATAATAATTCTACAATAGATGGAGATGAAAATGGAGAATGGATATTAGAGATTGGATGTTGGAGAAGATGTGTATAAAAATGTTAGAAAATAAGAGTATTTATAGAATTTTTGTACCCTCACCCCCACCCACCCCCATCTTGAAAATAAGAATATTTATAGAAAATAAGAGAATTTTAAAAATGTGACCGTTGGACCCGGGCCCGACCCGGCCGGGCCGGGTCAACTATTTCCGGAACCGACCCCGCCCCGCCCATCCCCCCCGGTTCGGGTCTACACCCGGTCCCGGACCGCCAGACCGGGCCGGTCCCGGGCCCGCACAGTAGCGGGCCGGGCCGGGTCACGGGCCGGGTGGCCCGAACCGAATCCACCCCTACCCATTACGTTGCCGTTTGTCTAATTTTGTTGAGATATTACCCGAAATAGGACTAAAATAGTTTTAAAATTTCAAAATAGGACTGCCATGTTTTTATTCCCAAAATAGGACTAATTACTGCCATGTTTTGGCAGTACCAGACTTCAAACATGTCAATATTTTCTAAACATGACAGTAATTAGTCCTATTTTGGGAATAAAAAACATGACAGTCCTATTTTGGAATTTTGAAACTGTTTTAGTCCTATTTCGGGAACTTTCCCAATTTTGTTTCATGACTCAAAATGGATCCAATATAAATTGAAATGCAACAACATTTTTTATAAAATGTGTCGAACAATTATTATTATAAAATATTATACTATTTTATTTTCATTTCTTATTTTGACAAAAATATATTAAATTGAGTAACTTTTTATAATCTTTCATATGACACATATATTACATTCGTAAATTGTTGAAAAAATATTCTTTTTTATTAGCATTTCTATAGGACAGTATATACCATCTCTAATTTGAACGTCATAAAAATTTTAGTCTTTCTCTCATATCTTACCTTTTTATGCTTAATTTCTTGTCTTTGTTTCTTTTTTAGCTCTGGAATTATGTATTAAAATATGCGACAAATTTAATCAACATATTGAACATTTTATGTTCAATTAACAGACGAATTTTATGTTTCTCTTAATTTATATTACTTGAGTCTGGTCTGGGATCGAAGTCACTCTAAATAAAAACATATTGAACATTTTATGCGACAAATTTAATCAACAGATAAAAAAGAAAAACTGATATACAACTAGTGGGGTAGATGAAGAGATTAATATGAATTAAAATAAATAAATAAATAAATAAATAAATAAATAAATATCTTGTTAGTCTGAATGTCAAGAACACTTTTTTTAGATGATCTTCAAATTCATCATCCATTGTAAAGGAAATGTGTGAAAAAATGTAAGAGCATAATAATGTGTTATAAATATTTATATAGTATATATTAAGATTTATATTAGTCGTTTTAAAAAAATAAAGCTAATAAAAAAAGGAAATACCACGTATAAAAACATATTTTAATTTAAGAAGCAACAAGGAGTTAGTTTCAATCATACAAAAAAGTTGAACAAATATTAAGGAAATACAATGTATAAAAACATATTTTAATTTAAGAAGCAATAGAAGGAGTTAGTTTAAATTTGAAAGAGGCGTTGGGTGAGCTACGTTCTACCAGGGAGTGACTTAATATCATATATGAAAGAGGACAAATTTGTCCAACAATGAGAAGAAAATTGTGCGCCTGGTAAGTTTAGGAGTGGGCGAAGGAGGAGCGTTATGGGATACACAAGAGGTGAAATATATTTGTTGTACTTGTACATCACTGATACTATTCTTTCACCCGTGCCTTGCCCGGGGTAGTAGACTAATTCAAAAGCTAATTGAAATGATCGGAATAAATAAAAAGTTAGTTTTTTATTGTTGTAAACTTAGCTTGCAGCCTTCATTAATTTGGGATTGAAACATAACTGCAATCATGGTCTAAGGTAGACACATGAGCTCTTGCTATCGCATGATTTGCACGATTAGAGACGGCGATTACAAAAAGAGATACTCATACCACTCTTTGTTTGTATAAGGTTTCTATATCATTGATTAGCAAGTCCAGATAAGAGCCGCTTTCCCCATTTTGATCCCTTGAACAACCGTGAGAGCATCAAATTCTATCTCAACAAAGTCTCAATCTTCATTCTACACTTCCAAGATGGCTTCACAGATACCCATAGCTTCTGTTTCCGTTGGGGTCCAGTCTGCTTGCGTTGACCATCCAAAAACTTTGATAAATTCTCAATGTTCATTCCTAGTAATCCAGCCCCATGCTCTTATCCCTCCTTCCAAATTAAATGATGCGTCATTATTTACCTTAACAGCTGGAAAAGAAAAGCAACTTTAAAATAAAAGCATTTTTACTATTCTATGTGCATGGGCTATTTTAAATATATTTAAAACTTCTTCAGGAATTATATATATATATATATATATATATATATATATATATAAACTTGATTCTTTTCCTACATTATTTGCACTACCTGATGAAATGAAAGTATATTTAATCTCTCAATAACACTTCAATAAATTCCATTGCAGAGTACACAACAAAAAATTTAGAGCACAAGTTGTGGATATATAATGGTTGGCCACAAAACGGATTAGAAACTAAAACTTTCCTTTCTTTTCATTCTTTCATTCTTTTATTCTTATACAGGCCATGAAGAGATGATTTAAAATTTTAAACAGGAGCGAGCTGAATTTTTCTCATCTTGTGAATATTAGTTCGCTTAACTATTACCATAGAAAAAAAAGAGAACAAAAGAATTAAAGAAAAGAACAAACTATGTTAATTTTGGAGGGATTTTTATTTTCTTACCATTGATATGTTAAAAATCTCAGCTCAATAGAAAACAGCAGAACAAAATACTCCCTCCGTCCCTAAATTATCTTCAAACTTTCCTTTTTCGTCCGTCCCAAAATTATCTCCTCTTCCCATTTTTAGCAAAAAATTTGTGGTTCACAACCATTCTTACACATTCTTACACATTTCTCTCTCCTCTGCACAACTCTCCACCACACAAATCCCACTATCTTAATAAATGTGCCCAGCCGAAAAGGGAGAAAGATTAGGGACGGAGGGAGTAATGGTTTTCTGTAAAAAAATGTACAGTCGAATATAATTGTAGATAAGTTAGAATACTCATGTAATTAGCTGTGATTTAATCCTTCTTATTAGATAAGAACTGGTAGGTAGTCAGATCCTAATTTTTAGGATCTTATCATTGAGGTTGGTAGCATTGTACTCTATATATATTGTACTTGTGTGAATGAATAAAAGTAAGTCAGATAATTCTTTCAAATTTTCATGGTATCAGAGATTTGGTTTAAACAACACGATGGTAGAAACCAGTGATTCTGATTCACACACTAGCACCCCTACCTCCCAAATTAGCCCTATGACAAATTACCAGTCTCCTATTCATTCATCAATTGATTGAATGGAAAAAAACTATTTGGAATGGTCTCAATTGATGGGAGGGGAAAATTGGGCTTCCTCACAGGAGAAATCAAACCAAAACTTCGTGGTGAGGAAGGCTTGTAATTGTCTGGCTTCTCAACTCCATGGAAGCCTCAATTGCCAAACCTCATATGTTTATGAAGACAGCAAAAGAGGTATGGGATTCCATAAAAGAAACTTACTCAGATCTTGAAAATTCTTCTCAAATTTTTGAGATAAAAACCATTCTCTGGCAGTCCAAACAAGGAGATAGAGATGTCACCACCTATTTCAATGAAATGGTGTCTCTATAGCAAGAGTTGGATCAATACTATGATGATGAATGGGAAAGTGCAAAAGATCTGGCCAAACACAAAAAAAGGGAAGAAAATGACAGAGTTTATATGTTTCTGGCAGGAGTGAATCAAAGCTTTGATGAAGTGAAGGGAAGGATTCTGGGAAAGAAGCCTTTGCCTTCAATCAGAGAAGTATTCTCTGCAATCAGGATTGAAGAAAGCAGAAAAGAGATTATGAATAACACTCCAGGAACTCTGAATGATACT